AAAAAGCCTTAAAAGTTATTTAAGGGTGCATAACCCATAGGTTGGTGGTTCATTTCCAAGGTGGGCCACTGTCATTGTACTATTGATCAATGCACTTAAGCTGAACTGCTACAAATTAATATCCAGCTGTGTAAATGGGTATCACATAAAAGATGTAGGCTATGTTGCGTGCTCTTGATAAAAGTGTCAACAACCTTCAAATCCTTCCTCTTTAAATTGTTGAAAATAAAATAATGAATGCAGGGCAGAATTTGTTCTGAGAAAATTGTATGTCTGAGACTCAGGAGACTCAACCCATACTGAAGTTATTAGACCTCTTACATGCTGGCCATGACCCGAGTAACACCAAAGACTGTAACTATGAGACAGAAATCTTCCCCTGTCTTCCTGGTTGTAGTCAATATTTAGTAGTGCTTTTTTAAATTTCAAAACTTATGGTAGTCATTAAAATGATTTAACCACATTGTAATGTTTATTAAAATGTTTGACTGGGATGTGAGTTTTACTGACCAAGTGAATTTAGAGAAGAAAATTTGACAATAAGGGTTCAGGGATGTTTAAGTGGGAGAAAAGGACAGCATTACCCTATAATGCACCTATTCTAAGGGAGCAACATCATTTTCAGTGGCAACAGGAAGATTTATCTCTTGCTGTTCTAATCTCTGTGGTAGCATGTTTTGTAATGACGGAAGACCCATGTACATTGTAGAGTTGTTGAGGAAGTGCTAGACAACCGCATCGACACGTGGGCGGAAATGACACGTTTATCACTGGTATGAGTGGGCTTCCTGGTCTTTACTGCGCAGAGACGTGAAGAATGTGATGAATTCCTAAGCAGTGAGTCGGATGTACCTGACTGATGCAGGATGTAAGGGGAATGGTATTGACTGGGCGAAACTGCATAAGAAGACAGGCTTCAAAGGGAGTTGCACTTTCAGTATGAACCTGCTCGGATGCAAGATATTTTGGCCCACTCAAAATGTGGTTGTGGAGCTAACTAGTGAAAAACTAAATTAAAAGGTAGCTAACAATAATCTGCGATGGCGAATATGCTGAGCAGCGTAAGTGCTGTGAAAGAGCCTTCAGAGCTCTTTGAAAGCTCTTGACAGCTGCTGTGAACCCAGCCCCACCCCCCGCCCTGTGGTCTCCCCACTCGCTGAAAACGACCGTGCAGCAGAGAGAGCTGCTGACGTCTGTGGTGTGGGCTGAGAAAAGTGACAGCTGTAGGTGCTGTCATTGACACAGACTAGGGGGTGTGAAATGTCACGGTGTGCGCGAGCGCGCAAAGTGGGTGTGCGTGCGCAAGAGACAGGGAAATGAGGGGGAGGAACTAGCTGTACTCCTCCACCCAGAGCCAGCTCCTTACATATGCAAAGACCCCCCAGCAGCACTTTTTCATCGATCTCAAAACTTCTCTTTTTTGTGTTATTTCATTTATGTTGCACAATAATCCTTATGTTGCATAATAAGGAAAAGGGAACAAGGGGGCCCCTCTGAAGTACTGACTTGCTCTTACTTTCAACTGGTCTTAAAAGGATGCAGCCTGCCAGCCATGAAAAAAGTTATGTTGGTGAACAGAGTAATGTTGTTTATAATTCATTTGGTGCAGTAATTTTGTATGTTCCTATTCAGTTATTCTATAAAATAAACAGCACTTTGCATATCCCCTGACAAAAAAAGCTGTAACCAGCCCTGCTTCCTGCTTCCATCCTTTGAGCAGCAGAGACTGATGCACTTAACTATTCTAAATTGAAATTCTGAAATTAAAATAAATAAGACTTATGCAGTGTTGCCAGTTTGGTGGTACTATCACCATGCCAAGTTATCAAAGAACTCATGTGAGGGTTATCTTCATAGAGATATGAGATATTGCATGCTTGCAGAGAATGAGCTACATTCTCCACTGGTCAGCAGCCCTAACCCTCCCAGCCCTAGCCCTTGTGAGTTCCGAGTTCCTCTTCTGTCTCAACTTCTGAGAAAGACAGTCTGGACGTCTGAAGATTTGGCAACACTCTTTTGTGACATCTTGTGTGCTTTCAGAGAAATCAATCAAAATTCTTAAAAACTAACAAAGAAGAAAAAACACCTGTTTCAAGTTAAATAATAACTCATTCAGAATTAATTGTGACAAGCCTGATCAAATTTACTCAAGGGAAAATTGTGTGCATCATTGATAACCATGATGATTCAAGGTTTTACTAGGTATTTGATTCATCTCTAAAATGGCAGTCAGTGATGATGTGCTTGTAAGATTGCTAAAGTTCATGCTCAAGTTTCAAAGCATTTTGTGTCAGATACTTGGTTCCACAGATGACTCGGTTCCACATGGAGGCCCCAGGTGGGCCAGGTTCACAAAAACCTTCACCTGGCCCCACTGAAAAAAAATGAACCATCGGCAGCAATCTCTGACTGTGAATGTGTTTCTTCATGGCAGTGGCACCGTCCTGATTTGCCAATGGGGGTCTCTAATCAAAAAAGCTGTAGCCAACCCTTATTTTTAAATAGAATTTCTCATTCCAAAATATCCCTAGTAAGTCTGCAGTGGCTTCCTTATCGGCAAAAACAATGTTCAGAATATATGCAACAAGGAAGCCACAGATGTTTCACCTTTTGTGGAATTGTTTAGTATTTCATATAGGAAGTAGAATTTCTGCTTTCTAGCAATAACTAGAAGTAGTAATACCCACTTCTCATGAACCACTTCAGCCACACTGAAAGAGTATTTGGGATAAGGGGACACACACTATTAATGCAATATTACCTTTGGAGGATTTATGTGTAAATAATCACAATTAAATGTCTGTTTTGTTCATTTAGTCATTTTCAGAAAAATATATTTCTGGGTAACATGATAACCATTATTAACCAGGAAATATACAGGAATGTTAACTAATCAATAGACTTTACACTCCATAGCAACACAATGTCATTGGTTCAGTTCAACTACACCCATTTTTGGGTTCATGAAGCTTCACTCTCTCCTAATAGCCCTGAACATGTTGCAGCACAAGCAGCATTTGGAAGCTCACAAATTTTACAGTTCTGCTGTGCTTTCAGTGGTTGAAATGTAATTCCACAGATGGATTTACCACTGAAATCCATCTCACTTTGCATATCACCACTGTAAATATATACATTGTTTTTGTGGAAAAAAGTGGGACAGAGTTCTCTACTGTTGTGTTTTTGTTAGGGCACAGACGAGGGACCCAAGAGCAGACCACGCACAATCAGGGTTAAGTGCGTCTTTATTAATTAACGGCAGGCAGAGTTCGAGAGCCGGGAACAGGCAGGGTCGGTAACTGGAAGGCAGTCCGTGGGAAAAACCAGGTCGAAGTCAGGAACAGGCAGAGTCAGGAACCGGTAGACAGTCCGAGGGCAATTCCAGGAGCGAAGTCGGGCAGAAGATAAGTCAGGAACGGGGCAGGCAGGCACACAGGCAAACAGGGCAAAAATGGCAGGCAGAAAAACCAGGATGGGGCACAGGCGAGATCAAAAGGCACAGAAAAGCACGAGGAAACAAACGGTGGGGACGAAACAGGTCATGAAAAACACTGCTACAAACTAGCAACGAGAAAGGAACAGGCAGGGCATGAATAGGGCAGAGCAGACGAGGTGATGGGGAACAGGTGAGCTGGCAGGCAGGTGGCGGCGATGAAGCAACGAGGCAGGCGGGGACAGGGGCGGGGCTAGAACACAAGGAAAACAAAAGCACATGGACAGGGGAAGAAAACAAACACACAGCTAGGGGGCCGGGGCACTGACAGTTTTAGCCAGTGAGACAGGCTGGTGGCATTGTATATCTTTCCTGTATCTGTCCTGTAGTTGCACTTGGCTGACACGAGTGAAACGTGTTTCCAGTGAATGCAAAACCATATGCTCTTCCATGGATGTACTCTTACAATGGGATCAGCTGAGGAGCTGATCCCTTGTCAAAACATTTCCTAACAAAGGAACAAAACTTACTCTGTTTTTTTTTTTTTTTAAGTTTGATGGAAGAAACTGGAAAGCTCTGACCGACGGGTGATCACAGCAGAATGACCTGTTCTCTATTTCAGTTTCAAAAGAGCATGAGGCAGAACCACAATGAGCACGAGTTTCCATTCTCCTGGTACTTATTTAGTTCAGGTCAGATATTCCCCTTCCCTTGATATGAGGTGCTGGCAAAACAATGCATATCCACTACAGTGACACAGCAGTAACAATGATGACTTTGAGTTTATAGCAGCTGATCATCACCAGAAGAGTTTCGCAAGAGAAAAACGTGAAAGATAGAATGTGGTTGTGCACGTCTCCCCTTTGGTTCTCTAAATTAGGAATCTAACAGGTCTTCAGCCTGTTGTGCCAGTCGCATCTCTTGCATGAAGAGGTCAGTAGAAGGGTCCTCACAAGCCTACTCTATTTTAGTAGACATGCTCCAAACAGGGGCAAAAAACCCTTTCTCTTGCAGCTGTTGGTATGGTTTGGAACGAAACAATCAGGAAGTCAAAAATACAAACAACTGTTATCTTTGTCTCTCAAACCAGATGTTGCCTTTTCCTCTGCATAGTGCAATTAAGTTCATTTAAATTCTCATACAACTGTTCTGCACAACTTTACACAAGAGCCATGATTGGTTCCTTAAGCTACAGACCCAGTTACCAAACCTAGGAATGCAATTAAAAACTTGCACAATCTTTTCTATAAAGTGTTTAGGGTCTGGGAGGGAGAGGTATTAAACCCAGTCCCCATGGCTGCACAGCACAACTCCACACAAGAGATATTACATTACATTCATTTAGCCGATGCTCTTATTCAGAGTAACTTCTGGCACAAGAAAAGCACACTTCGTAGTCGGCAGGATTCGAACCTGTGCGGGGAAACCCCAATGGATTTCTAGTCCATCGCCTTAACCACTCGGCCACGACTACCCATGCCCATTGTTAACTGGTCAGGCTGCTCTGTGAATGTTTTTCTTTGCAAGCATGTCTGAAAAGCTACTGAGCTGAGAAGCATTAAAGGGCTGTCAGAAGAGGGTCTTGAACCAACAGCTCCAGGGGAGACTGTAGTCTGAACACAATGCCTTACACCACTCAGCCATCAAGACTGACATGATTACCTTGTCAGGGTAAAGACCCAGCTCTCTGACATACCAATCATACTCTTGCAGCATCTCGTTGAGGGTAGGGTGCAATTTCCACTGTTCAAGTAATATGCTCGTTTTTGGTCCACCACATCTGCTCTTTTTGTCCTTACTTTACAGCCAGTTATGGGTTGGTTGTTTGTTTTCTATTTTGCTGTTTTCCAGGATAGTCTAATGACCGCCCTTTTCTGGGTTTAGGGAATAATTTCCCATTTTTTCCATAATTAGCTCCTGGTTTACTGAGTTTTTGATTCCTTCTGGAAAATGTTCTTTGTCCAGCACAGCTATGTGACAGTGTAATCGCGGAACTGTGCTAAAGGTGTTTGAATTTTTATTAACTGATTTGACTGTCAAAGAGAAGTCAGCAAAAAAGAAAGAAAACAACAAAAAGGCCCCCCTGGCGAAGAGAAAAAAAAAAAACCCACAAACATCACAAGAACATCATCAGCCCTCCATGACTCACCCTGTTTATAGTAAGTTCCACATGTTGAGAGGTAAAGGTTATGAAGTGGGGCTAGGGTTGTAGTGTCAGCATCACACGAGTAACAAGCAGTTGATCATGCTTTGAAGAACCGGCTGTCTGTCACCATGTGGACACAATGACTTCACAATGACTGGTTCAGACCACCATGTTTGACACAAGTTACCATCTACTGAGGCTCATAAGGGAAACAACAGCTCACTTTGAGACATGTACATCTGTCATTTTCCGCATTAGCTTCCTGGTTTATGTTTATATTTTACATTTTTGCTGTTTAAGAGATGCTCTTGTCCTAGACTAAAACTACAACTACAGTAAGAGGACACAAAAGGGGAGAGAGAGTTCATGCTTGGGTAGCAAAGCTGAGGTGTGGTCTAAAGACTTGGGTGTGGTCTGAAGACTTGGGCGACTCCACTGTCCTGACCACTACTGACTGCTACTGGAAACTCATATCATCTTCAATCATCTATTGAACTGTGATCACAGAGCTCAGCTTGCACTCAGGGAGAGCACCATACCCATTGAGCTTCTCAGAAGCCCCAGATGCTATCAATCCTGCCGTTTCCATAGTTTCCTGTAGAGTTGCGATGGTGTTCTTTTTTTGTAGCTCTTGTTCCATCATGAGCCAATGCACTGGAATGATGGCAGTGGAGTGTGTCCCAAATGCCCTCCCAAATAATATCCTTTCACTCATTGTCTCCCAACAGATGGTTGAATGTTGCCTGTTGTGTGCACCAATCTATCTGACAGCTCATGGAACTAGTATGTAAAATAGCCCAGAAATAGTTTCTTAACTCTGAGTATAACAGCACATATACAGAAACTTGCAGTGGTTTCCGCTTCTAAAATTTCACATTTTGAAAAGTTGCCGATACAACAGAAGAAAAAAAAGATTTGCTATTTACAATGTATAAGGGTAGCATGATGAATATAGTACCAGTAACTATTCACCTTCAGGTGACACAATACCAAAGCCAAATTACTACTTCTTTCTGTGCGTACTTTGCAAAGTCAGAGATAGATCAGTGAAAGGCACCAGGCTATCTGTTAGAAAACAATGTCCCAAATGGACCAAATTACACCCTTCCCCTTCATCCTCGTGTATGCACCTGTGATGTATAAATTAGCTAGACTGGCAGTTTGGCTCCAGAACTGTGGTCATTATAATATGGCTTCCTAGGCCCTAAGGGATAACACTGAAAAACCATAATCTCAAACAACAAATGTATTAGTCAAATGGTAATGCTCAGGGTGCTCTGTCCAAGATAATTGACAAAAGACCATATTCCTCAGGTTTGATATTTTTAGGGGGAGTTGATAATCATAAGAATTAATATTTGTTATCATCAATGATGATCAGCTGATCCATTGGCTGCCAGTCTAGTTAATTTGTACTCCATTGTTATGTACTTGTGTCATGTCATGTCAAATATGGACTTGTTCACTTGCAAGTACCTTGGTCTCTTTGGACGGTGACACAGCCTTCATCAGCATGGTGCACAGAAAACCCCTTGTTTGGTGTGCATGACGCTGATGAATCATGCTTTGTCGCTACATACCAGACAATTGATGGAATGTGCCGCAGAAAAATCCACCATACTATTTCACTTGAAGTCCAATGAAGGGATCACATCTGGCCTTCCCCAGTTGGGCTGAGGATATTGGTCCCCACACTGGACATCATAAACAGGGGGAAAAAGTAGAGAGATGAGTGGAGGAGGAATGATGTGAACATCTAATGTGGAAAGACTGTGGTAAGTGGGACTGTTCTGTCTGGGTTTGGTTAATTGTGTAGGGATTGTCTGAAAATTCTAATTCTCCCTCCAAATATTTGTTTGGAACTTGGGTGTTTTTTAAGCAAAACAAGCCACTCTCCAGTTCTCACTAAGGGATGCTAATGTATAAAGTGTTTACTAACAAAGCATGTTCCTAGATGAGCTATAATCTAAACCTCAACTAAATATGAATCTAAAGTGAAGACACCACTCTCTAGAACATCTTTAAAACTGGCCTTCTCAGGCTCATCCTTAAAGAGTACCCCAACTACCACGTCATCTGTTAGTAATTCCTTTCATCAGTGTAATCAAAAATATTTGTCTGTAGCATTTCAAAAGATATCCACACAGCACTCATTTCAAAACTAAAAGTGAGCTATACTATGACCAGGAAACTGGCAACTGGTGAGAGAGAAGCTTAGGTGTTTTCAAACAGGAACTCAGTTGGGACATTCCTCCAGTAACCCCCTCTTTCACAAAAAATTGAATATTGACAATTTACATTACTCTAGCAGTACTCATCAGGATCTCATGCATTACTGTGTATTAAATCCCATATAAGTGAAAGTATAAAACATGGCTTCAGTGCTTCCTGTTGCAACAGTGCAGTGCCAAGAGCAGTGCTGATTCATGAATACACAAATTCTGGTGAATTTATTTAGTAATTATGAAAACAGCTAAGAGAAGTAACAGGAAGTGTCATCTGTCCATGACACAGACACCTGGGGGGATATCAGTGTGGCTTATTGATTATCTGAGTCTGAACCAAAGGTATGCATATCAGTTACCAGGCATGTCAGGTCTGCCCACGGAGGTATTCAGAAGGAGATTTCAATACATCACGCCATTTATGGTTTATATGGTTTGTCTCGCCTCTACTTAGAAAGTGTATGCGTGCATTGCTACCATGCATTCGATTGGGTGCAGACTGGGCAGGGTGCGCCAACATGGTTGGTAAGCCAGGCAAAGACAAAGTCCGTGAGACAGGAGACAATTCAGTCTTATTCTTTCTCTGAGCGACAAAGATGACTATAAGTACTGCGACTCCTTACACCCATTACTGTTCCTAGTATTTTTTAATTTGTATTCTCGCATTTTGATCATAAGTCTGGTCATGTTAAAATTACGAAACCACAAGTGTATTACTTAAATGGTCTTACCAATTATAAGTTAAACATTTAGATCTTCGGTGGTTCCTTTCGTTTTGTTGCCCTTTGTCCCATATATGTCGTTAGAATTCGAAAACTTAATTTCATTTTGTAGCGACGTTGAAGGGATACGCTGTCAGGGCGCTCGGTGATGACTGCACGCAAACATCTTGTGTTATTTGCATAGGATAACACAGTTTTCAGTTGTGGAGCGTATGGTTCACCAAAAGCGTCGTTCATTAAGATTGCAGCAATCCACTAACTTTATTGTCTTTGCGATTGCAGATCCCAGTGAGAAATGTAAAGAGCAATGTCAATTTTGGGAAATCTCTAGGGGGTGACTACACTCCAAAAGAACGTATATTCACCACGCCTCCCACTACCCCCCACAGAGAGACTTAATCACAACATATGGGCTACAAATGGTTTCTCAGAGATAGAATGAGTCAGTCTGTCGCATACCGGCAAGAGGTAACAACCGGCCAGAGTGCTGGGTGGCTACTGGATCTTTCAGCTGAGAAGAGACGCTTGTTGACAGGTGAGCTTCTATATTCATGTTTGCCATAGTAACGTTCCGTTAAACGTTTGGTCGTATATATCATCTGACGTGGCACCACGCAGATTCTCTGTTCCTGCAGTTCTCGCTGGAGCGCTCGCCGAAGTGTGTTCTAGCAAGTGACGCGTTCCTCATGCAAAGATAGTCGCCGTTTAAATTAAAAGTGTGAAGGCAGGCTTTGGTCATCCGTGTATAATTTACTTTAAGGCTACTTGGCTTTGTTAGGTAGCTTTGAGTTGAATTTTAGCGCGACCGTCGGAAGTTGAATGTATGAGTTTGCCGTAGTGAATAGTGGCGGTTACAGCAGCAGTTTGTTAGAGGTCTCAGCACAAATATACATACTTTGAAATGTCATCGATAGACAATATGAGACAGTGCGAAAAATAAGTGATGTATTCTAGTTTGGTAACTCAGAATACATTTTAATCATCCTGACCGTAACCCATTACTGGTTATGAACTGAAAAACACACAGTTTAATAACATCAAACCATATTTTAACAGATGAAGAAGTGTATTCGACAAGTTCTAGTGAAATTAATTTGAGGGGGGGGGGAAAGTGGTTCGTCAGTTTGCCAAGTACTGTATTTGCAGTTGTTTGGGAGCTGGTGATTTGATAGCGCACGCAGCTTGCTTCAGACAGCTTGGGTTCAACTGTTGTCGGATTTTGGTCCATCTCAGTTAATGCTGGGTAAACCCATGCGTTGTTGTATTTGAAAGATGAGAGTGCTTTTCGTGTGAGCTGTTCACTGATGTAGAAAATGAGACATTCCCATGTATGTTTGTGTGTTGGGGGGTGGGACCTTAAATAGTCATTTACTTACTGAGAAGGACCCCCGACTGATGTCTGTGACAGCAGTGTGTCAGACTGGGGGGGGAAGTGGGGGGTGGCTGTTTCAGTGGGGAGGAGGGAGACATCTTATAAGGGGTTACGCACAGGTATGGTACAACAGTGGGTGACACAGCAGGCACCGGGGAGTTTTCTCCATTTAAGGTCAACCCATC